ATTACTTTCGGAATTAGCGGCCTTTAGGGCTCATTACTTTCGGGCAGCAAAAAATGTTATATGAAGTAGATACGATTGAGCTCTTAACAAAACAAAAGACGTAAATTCGTAAAAACAGTTTTTTTAACATCAAACTTCACAAGTTCTTCGTTCCTGTTTAAATCTATGCTGCTGCTGCGTGGGTGGGCTCTTCCTTCTTAGATCGTGTTGTTAGCGGTCAGCAGGAAAGCTCGTCAGATACTGTAACCTGTTTAAGCCAACTTCATGATACACTGCTACAGTTAGTCTGCTGTAACCATTATTTCACTGTGTTGGTCGAGTTTTTTAAATTTGAAGAAACGTTCCTTTTAATACGCTCCTATTGAAAATGAAACAAAGTTGTCGATTTTAATTTAAAGCAAAGTTCCTATTAGCACGTCCCTGTAGATGGCCACGTTAATGGGGGTTTTCTTATATATTGTCTGGGCGTTTTGCCGGGGCAAAAATAGTGGCCGTAATAACAAGGTGACCTCACCTGAGGCGGGGTTCCACTGTACATAAATTGTTTCCATAAATCTCAAAATCTCTCGAAATAAATCAAGTTTAGACATGTGGTTTATTAAAGATAGTTAACAATAATCTCATTGCCATGCAACATTCTACGTCCAATTTGAATTTTACGTATTGAGCAGTCCGCAACCAGGTCACTTGGCCATTCCCCCACTGGTGACCACCGAAGAAAAATAAAATCATTAGTTTTGTGCTGCCGATTTCAGACCGCAGAAGATGATATAATAAGTTCGGAGTTGTCCCGTGAAGAATCTCTAGCGCGAGAAAATGACAAGGCACGCAAAGCAGTCGTTCATGGACAAATGAAGAGAAGAGAGCGGTCCTGAGTCATCTAGGGCATCTAATAACTTCAGGTGTTGAGCCTGGAAAAGGGCCATGTGAGGAATGCATCCAAAGGAGCCAAAGGGTGTTTAGCAGTGGCTCATGGACGGCTGTGAAGTATTTCATGAAGAACGAGGCTGACAGACGAAAACAGTGGGTCAACAAATCATCAGAGAAAAGTATCTCCCTACGGGCAAGCAAACAAGCGTACAAGAATTTGATTCTTTTGAGATAAATGGTATGTAAACCAAGATGAAGTTTTCATTGCTGAGCAAACAACGCTTTAAACTGATGATTTGTCAATATTCAGTGGTAATAATTCCCATTTATACGACTCCTCGCTTCATTGATTGATTGCATGGGCACTCAGCAGTTTGTTATAGCTTTCTTATCTAACCGTTGATCTAGGTAGCGCCACTTCATCAGTATGAGAAAACGTGTTCATTCATCTCTAACAAGATTGGCGCCACAAATTTTCTCAGGTAATCTGATATTCTCTTTATTGAAAATTTTTTGGCTCCATTAAGTCCTTAACAATGCCCCTACATTTGTTGTCCTGTGAGAAGGCCTATTTTGCATGAGCTGAAGAAAAATTTCTGTGAAAGCCACACAATAAATCCTTTATAGACCTCTTTAGCTTCGCGGTCACGTGGTCTACATTGGGTAAACAAGACATTCAAGATGGTGGGCACTAATGAATTTTCTGTTGTAGCGTGGACAAAATCGTTGCAAAATCTTGCTAAAGTGTCCGCAATTACAATAGTAAATCATCTAAAAGGATGTGGAAAAAAAGAAATTGGAGAAAAAGGTTATAAATTCTTTACAGAAAATTACATTCATGATGTATTTGTGAAAGAAGAAGACAGTAGATCGAGGACTTGTTATGTCAAAGGCCGTTGTTTCGAAAGCCAGAAGAAGAGCAAAGCTCCTCATACTGTAAAATTGAAGATTGCTGCAGACAGAGAAGATAAAGGAAATGTGGAAAAAGCAGAATGCTCATGCAAAGCGGGGTAAATATAACTCGAAGTTCCACCACAATCACAATATAATTATCATGCTGGTGTAGGCTGTGACTTTAGGTCACATTCCACAGGTGAGGATTACAGGTCGCACGCACACATCGAATAATAAGCCGAAAAGTGTTTTGTCGATTTAAAACCGACGATAGTTAACTGGGCTTTTTGAACCTGCCGTAATTTTTGTTATCAAAAATACA